GACAACTTATAACAAACCCATTGTTGTATAACCCTCAGTGCCACTTATTTATTGGTTTTTGTCACACACACTGTAAAGGAAAACTCTGTCCTGCACTTAGCACACTGAAGGGCACCTGAAGGTCACACTGCAAATGCTTTAGTGTCAGACTCAACGGACTTCGTGAGGAGGTGCCTGAAAACATCTAGGACCTTCTTTTCAACTCCCAAAGTCTAGGCCCTGGTAATCAGTCAACTTCTTGGGCTCTGGCAGCAGTACCAGGATTTTCAAGTCTGGTGGAAAAAAAGCACATCCAAGAAGGTTAAGAAGTCACAGTAGGACCTCATAGGACCATGAAAACTTGGGGAAAAATAACTTTCTGCCCTCAGGTGATGGGCTCACTGTCACCCCCGAACGACCATACACAAACCTGTATCCTTAGCAGACCTCAAGTGGTTCTCCTCTGCTCCCTAAGACTGGCGTTCCATTCATCGACTTGAAAATATCCTGAGTGGTCAGTTCAATGACCAAGGTCAAACAGACTATCCTTTATAACTGCTCCCCCCACACACCTAAAGGAAGAGATAAAATCTGTGCTAAATCTCTCATCAATGTTGGATTAGGTAACTAGAACCAACAAATTGCTCAACAATTCATTACTAACCTTGAAAAAACACTTAAAAGCCAGAACTGAAGAGAGATTATATTCCTATAGCTTTTTCAATCTATTAGTCTCAACACCAATGTACTTATATACCAGAGGAAATTCTATTCATAGATTTCTAATGAGAAAAATACTTAATCTCCATTTCTTCCTTTATCGATGAGAAAAACACTGATAACCTACATTACAACTGTGGTGGGAAAAAAAACAATCTACTGGGTTGTCAGAAAAGTCATGATGTATTTTTTCTATGTTTTTTGTTGCAAAAATGTGTCATGACTTTTCCGACAACCCAGTATTGCCTCAGAATCCTTAAAATGCTACAGAAATGCTACATGTGTCAATCTTTGGCAGACCGTTCTACTCATTTTACAGGGCTCTATGAAAGATAAATAGATGTACCTCTACCTTCCATCACTAACCAATTCTGAGTCACATTTCATGATCACCACAATTCCTAGGCCACAGATATTTCCCACACTAATCCAGATTCCAAAGTAGTTCTCTGAAAGAGAATAACATTATTCTGCCCATGATCTCTTTATCTTATTTACGTGCAGTTAACAATTTAGGAAAAGAGAACAGACCAAACAGCAAAAGCAGAGGCAACATCAACCAGGGGGCACTTCTGAGAGGGACTGCACTTCTTAATCTACCAGAGTGACTTGTTAAGGTCAGATACATTACTTGTTTTGAAGTTAACTGCACTCTTTCAAGAGTTGCTGTAACTGTTAATAACAGAAAAATGAACAGAAAAAAAACTGATAGTCTTACCCTAACACCGAGCAATCCTGCTCCTAGGTATTTATGCAACTGATCTGAAAACTATGTCCACAGAAAACCTACACATCAATGTTTATAGCGACTTTAGTCATAATCACCAAAAGCTGGTGAGTGCTACCATGGATACCCTTCAATGGATAAACGAACATCTATACAAGGCAATATTATTCAGCAATAAAAGGAAATGAGCTATCAAGCCACAAAAAAGCATGGATGAATCTTAAATTGTTAAGTGAAAGGAGACAGTCTGAAAAGGCTACATACTGTGTGATTTTAATTGTGATATTCTGGAAAAGGCAAAACTACAGATGGTAAAAAGGTCAGTGGTTGCTGGGGCAGGAAGTAGAGGTCTTGGAAAAGGGGAAGGACTGAGCAGGTTACACAGAGGAGTCTGTATGATGCTGTAATGATGGATACAAGACACTGTATTTGTTAAAATCCACAGGACTTTAGAAGCACAGAGTGAGCTTTAATGTATGCAAATTAAAAAAAAAATCACTGAGGAAGTTGGAGGATAAAATGCACAGTGTGACAGAATTTGCTACAACCGTATGAAACAGGTCATGAAGGGGTGGGGGTATGGTCTAGTAATTCTGATGCTGTTACATAGGTATACTGGAATTGAAATATTTAAGTCAATGGATGGCAGATGTTGGGAGACAGGCTTCTGACTGTTGGAGTGAGAGGTTACAGATAAGAAAAGAAGGCTAGAATGATCCACGTGGTAATAGATTAAATTGGAGACATTAGTATAAACTCCTGTTTAGCTGCATATAGTACAGAAGATTACATACAGAAGTACTTATGGGTATATGCATATATACTGGTTAAGTACACACGTATTTCCCTGTTCTGCCAGCTGAAAAGCAACACCATGCAGCAGCAGTGAGCACATCTAGCGCCCAGACCATTCTCCAGTAAAAGGAAACAGGGCTCTTTAGAGACATGGCCGATTCTAGGGTTGGGGCAGGAAACACAGAGGATAAGCCTGGAGCATCTTGTAGTGCCAGAAAGTAAAGAAGTACTGGGGGAAAAAACCAACCACAACGAGTGCATGTCAAAATGCAGGCAATGGGGCACGTGAAAAGGACACAACAGCCAACTGAAAGAGCTTCCAGTGGCCAAAGCTAAACCAAAGGGCACTGAAAGAAAGCAGTACTGAATTTCACCCTAAGTATAAAGTCAGTACTTCCGAGTCCAAACTGATAAAAATACATGATTGAATAAATAACTACCTGGGGGAGAATCTCTGGTGCAGAAAAAATCCAGATAATTTATGTAGATGCTCTCTCTGTGTAACCCCCACTCCCTAGGCGTGGGCTGCACAGAGGGACTTCCTTCCAAAGAGAACAGTATAAAAAAAGAGTAACTTTATAGAAGAAATGTGACACATACACCTAAGCCAGGCAATTAAGGTCAACATCAAAAGTCATAAACCTTGGTGACAGCAGACACCCTGGATATGGTTATGAAAATTACACTTTATATCTTCCTCCCTAAAATACATAACACCAATCTAATCATGAGAAAAACATCAAATACCAATTAAGGGGTATTCTACAAAATACATGACCAGTACTCATCAAAACGGCCTAGGTAAGGGGTCGACAAATTTTTGAGATGGAAGGGGCAATCCTGTCCCTCACAACAATTTAAAAATTATTCGAGAGCCATAAATATATTTTCACAAATAAGGAAAATTTAAAAATCTTTTAAAAATTTGTAAATGAAACTATGATAGTTTTATTTTCATTTTCAATTTTACTTCAGAGCCACATGTACGTACCCCAAGAGCCACATGTGGCTCGCAAGTCACAGTTTGCCGACCCCTGGTCTAGGTCATCAAAAACAACGGAAGTCTGAGAAACCATCAGAGCCAAGAGGAGACATGACCACTAAATGTAATGTGGTGTGCTGGAAGGGAGCCTGTGACAGGGCATTAGGTAAAAGCCAAGGCAATCTGAATAAAATATAGACTTTAGTCAACAATAATGTATCAACACTAGTTCATTAATTTTAACAAATGTACCATATTAATGTAAAATGTTAATAACAGGGAGAAAATATGTAGAAAAGTAATATATAAATTGTTAACAAAGATTATCTCCAAGTGCATGAGATTATAACCTGCTTGAATATTTGAACTTTTAATAAACAAGTCAATATTTTTTTTGTGTTTTGTGTGTGCGTGTTTTTTAAGCAATAATAAAGCAAAGTAGAGAAAGTTAAAGTCTAAATGGAAAAAAATCATTTTCTATCCAAGCAGTCTACAGTTTTTAAAAGGATACAGAAGTAACAATTCAATTTAAGTCTAAGGTTTTCAATCATTGTCAATTCAGATAGTTACTTAAGAGGCATGGAAGGAAAGTGCCTTGAAATACATTTTTTTAATTTTCAAAATTCCAAGTTTATTCACAGAATCAGGTATTTTCAAAACCTAAACATTGGCCCCTGACACAGGGGCCACATAGGTTCTTGTAAATCTGTTATAATTCACGATCATAGCATTATTTTAGTGAAGATGTTAAAGAGTCTACCAAATTCTAGTTAATTAACTATGGGTCTATCATAAGCAAACGGCATTCAATAATTTGCTAGTACCAAAGAAAACTGGACATCAACACACACTCCAGGGCTTGCTCTCCTGGACGTACCAGTAGTGAAAGTGAGTACAGCACATTTACCCTTGTCAGTCTGTCAGAAACTGTGAGATCACAGACATGTCCCTTTCTCTCTTCTAACTGAGGGTGGGGGCCAAATCACAAGAAAAGTTATTCAAGAATCTCCTGGAGCCGGCCGAGTGGCGCGATGGTTAAGAACTCGCTTGGGATGCCAGAGGGCCCCGGTTCGGATCCCACATATGAGGGCCAGTGACACTGCCCTCTACAGCTAAGATGCTGAACAACGGCTCAATCTGGAGCTGGGCTGCTGTGAGTCGCCGGCGACGGCGTGGGCTGCAGTCCCTGTGGTAGTGGGTTGCCATGGGCTACCGTGTGTAGCCAGCAGCCAGCGTGAGCGGCCAGCAGCCGCAGTGAGCCGCTGTCCAGAAGCCGGCAACTGATCTGCCTCACCCGGGAAGAGCGCAATGATGGTGCCAACTTGGGCCAGTGAAGCAACATCCTCCACAACTAGACTGAAGAACAAAACGACAGCAACTTGTCTGTCCCCCTTCCCCCAATTCCCCAGAAAATCTTTAAGAAAAAAAAAAGAATCTCCTGGAACAGCTCAAGTGCAGGTTCAACTCAGACATGACTACGGTCATTAGTTACCAGATTAAAAACATCATCACTTTTGTCTATGTGAACTCTTGGCAGATCACTGACTTTTCTTGCAGAAAGGGTAATGGTGGGAGAGGGAGGGAACTGGTATGGGTCTCTAACAGCTTATTTCCTTTCCCTTAGTATCTTGAGGAAGTAGCCCTGGAATAAGACAACCACACTGTATTTTTGTGAAGCTCTACCAGCATCCTTTTGTATTTGGGTAACAAAGGACTTGTTTATAGAACAGCAGAGGATAACAACTTACAGCCCTCAAACATCAGGTTAAGGAGGAATATCAACTTGCTCCAACTTACAAGAGTTGTGCCGACGACGGAAACTTTTGGACTGGCTCAGGGGCTCCACGTGCCTGTCCACATAGCTCTTGGAGCACTGCTGCTGGGGGGAGATTGCAGCCTCTTGGCTCTTCACATCTATCCTCTTAGGGATGCTCTGAGGGGCACTGCTGGAGGAGGCTGGCTTCCTGACCAACCTGCCCATGCCATTCTGATTGATACCCACTTGGTACCCAACACCAGAGGGTCCTAATTCTGTCTGATGAAGGTCTCCAAAATGCTGGTTTTCTCCAGGACCTGGGATCTCCAGAATTTTTAATTCCGTAATGTCACCTGCCCTGAAATACACAAAAGAATCCAAGTCTCAAAACTATAATAGTGGCAACAGTAATGAAACTGGAATCAACAGTAACCGGCAACACCTTTGCAGGGCTGCATTTCTATGAGTATCAAAGGCAAAAACTAGGAAAGGTGGTAGAGCGCTTAAAGAGAGGCTCAGCCACCAACATTCAACTGACACAGCACCAGCCTTTAAAGAGCCCTGCTGTTAATGACCAACTATCATTAGCACCATAGAGTCCCAGAATGCATAGTGGGTTTTTCACTTATTCACTCGCTTCTCATTCATTGGGTAGGCACCGAGAGAGTACTTACTGTGTGATAAGCCCAGAGCTAGGAACAGGGTATAAAGAAACGAAAAGCAACACATGCCCACAAAGAACTTGGTGTGGTCAGCAGAAAAGACGAGGAGGCAATCGGAAGTGGTGAGTACTGTGACAGAGGTGTGCAGAGGAGGCTAGAGAACCCCATAGGAAACACAGAAGGAGTTTGGCAGAGATGAACGAAACATGAGCTCTAAGTCTGGGGGGAGGGGAAAAGAAGAGCTGGCGGAGCAGGAGAGCATCTGAGGCCCAGGCGCAGACTGCGAAAATGTGGCCCATTTGAAGAGCTGCAAACATTATGGTGCCACTAACGGAAAGGATGTTTGTGTAAGGCCATCAATCAGGATGAAATCGGGGCCCACATCATAATCACAGGGGACTTTCCTGGTGGCTAAAGGGAAGGTGGAGAAATCAGAGGCAGAAGCACCAAAGGAGACCAGGCAAGAAGAGGGGATGAACAGGCAAGTGTTGATGCAAAGGGAGAAGGGGTGGTGGAACCAAGAGATATTTAGAATCCACAGGATCTGGTGACTAGAGAGTCGAAGAGAAAGAAGAATTTATTCTGATTCTTAAGTTTCTAACTTGGGTGAAAGGTGTCATTGACACCTATTAATGGGAGATCTTTGGAAAAAGAAATCTGCAGGTAACATATCATGAGGTTAGCTTTCAAAATCTTAAATTTAAAATATTTTGTCAGATACCCAACTGGAAATGACCAGTAGACAATTCAAATAAAGTGTCTGGAGCTCATAAAATGGGTCTAAATTAAAGATTTGGTACAGGCAGAGAAGTTACCAGTAGTAGCAATGGCCAGTTTATAAATATTCTCATGGGGATAAATGATATGATATATGCAAATCGTTAAGTCTAGTATTTGGCAAGAATTCAATAGATGCTTATTATTACTACTAAAAAAAGATTTGGGGTCTCATTAATTATAAGAAGGTACACGTGAGATTGTCTAGAGTGTATATAAAGAGAGAAGAGTCAAAGATAGAAAGTTGAGTACACCCATCTTAAGAAGTGAGTAGAAAAAAAGGAACCTGGAAAAAAGAGATATAGAAATGAAGGAATACATGGGAAAAAAACCAAAGGGGTGACAGAGAAACTAAAAGAAGAGGGCACTCCAACAGTTGGGAAGTGTCTGAGTAAGATTATAACTGAGACACTGCCACTAAATGTGGCAATTAGGTCATCGGTAACCTTGGTAAGAGCTAGTTCAGCAAGATGGTAGTTAGAAAAAACAGATAATGGTGGGGTAAGGAGGAACTAGAGAATGAGACCACAAAGGGAACAAAGGCCGCCAATTTTACTCTGAAAAGAACGGTGGGAGTAAAGAGGGAATGACAGTTGCAAATGCAAGTTGTGTGTGGGGGCGGGCGGGGGTTGGGGTTGGGTGTTTGTACTAAGGGAGGCCTGGGAATGTTAGAATGCAGAGAGGAATGAGGCAGCATACATGTTGAAACTGAAGACACAAAAAACATGCAGGGTCTCGAAGACAGATAAGAACAGCATATAAAGTATATATGATAAGGTGAGCCCTGCACACAAAGGGTGTTTCTTCTTTTGAAACTTCAGAGGAGGTAAGAAATAACAATGGCTACACCTACAGAAAAGGTTACCTGTGTGTATTATTCAGAAAGGCAAGGAAGCTCTTGCCCGACAGTCTTTTTTTTTCTTCTTTTTTTTAACATAAGTCTGTCAAACTGGTGAAAAGAGGGATGTGAAGATAACAACAAAACTTGACACACGATGGCAAATACTAAGAAAAATACATTCCTGTAACAAAGGACTTTAGCTACTGGCTACAGTGTGCTTCTGGAGATAAATTATAATACAAATCTAGAGAATGAGAATTATAATACAAATCTACAAAAAGAGATACATTTATGCAGGGGGAAAATCAGTAAGACCGTAGATTTAGAAAGCACAAGTGATTCAAAAATGAGAAAGAAAATCTGAAACCATAAAAGAAAATGGAAAAGTTATTCTGAATTTGACCTATTTAATAAATATAATGCGTGCTTGATAGAGAAAAGAAAAACGTTTCACAAACCCTGAATCATTAGCTGAAAGCTGTTTACCACCCAAAGTCTCTGCTCAAACAGCAGCTGGACTATAAGATCTAAGACTGCAGAATCTCACCTCTGACAAGACTCTACTCACAAGCAGCCCCATGCAAGAGGATGCTGGCAACTTAGCCTAGGTTCAAGCTCCACAGATCACCAGCTCAGATTTGGAAGAATCAGTCAGGACACTCACCTGAAGGTGACTTCTGGCACAAGGCACTTCACTCCATTGTGGAAAGGCCGGATGAGAGAAATGGTCTGGCTGACCTGGTCCACTGCTGACACTCTGCCCTGGTAGACACCCAAGCTATCCCCACAATTGATGGACACAATGCTGCCCAGCCAATCCGTAGCCATGTTTCAGGTGTGAGGCCACTGTGGAGAGAGGAAAGCAGGCGGTGTACCTTGAGAAACAGACAAATCTTTAATTAAATTCAATGAAGAATTATGTCAGGCTCTGTACCAGGTGTTGTTTAATAATACACATTCTGTCACATCCTTAATTAATGTAATAAAACAAAAAATAAAACGTTTTCAGGAGTATGCTTATTAATGAAAAAGCAATATTATTTAATATATATATAGATCTTACAATTGCTTTAAAGCACATGTACTGGATATAAAGATAATATTTACCCAGACATCAAATCACACAAACCAAAATCTGTTTATAACCTATTTTAATATATTTGCCATCCGAATGTTTATATAAAAAATGATATATAAAAAATAATATTGGTAAGGTCAGTGTAGCTTCTATCAGACTAACCCTCCTGCTGATCATGATAAATGCTGGACAAAAATTTTTTGAAAAGCTGACTGAAGGCATTCGAGAACACTACACCTAATAACTACAGAGTATACTTGTTTCTTCTTTTCCAGTCCACATGGAATGTTCACCAACATGTGCTGGGCCTTAAACTGCTATCGTTTCAAAGGACTGAAATCAGACAGAATATATTCTTTACCCACAACAGAATTCAATGATAATAAGATGTCTCAAATATTCCCAAATACAGTATTTGGAAATTAAACAAGACATTTCTAAAAATTCTGTGGGTCAAGGAAGAAATCAAAAGGGAAGTCAGAAAATGTTCAAACTCGGGGCCGGCTGAGTGACCTGTTGGTTAAGAGCTGGCTGGGCTCCGGTTCGGATCCCACATGAGGGCCAGTGACTCTGCCCTCTACATCTAAGATGGTGAACAACAGCTCGACCTGGAGCTGGGCCCCGGCAGCAGGGCCCCGGTTCGGATCCCGCATGAGGGCCAGTGACTCTGCTCTCTACATCTAAGATGGTGAACAACAGCTCGACCTGGAGCTGGGCTGCCATGAGTCACCGGAGATGGCAGAAGCTGTAGCCCCTGCTGCAGTGGGCTGCCATAAGCTACCGTGTGTGGGCAGCAACCAACGTGAGTGGCCGGCAGCCAGTGTGAGCTGCCAAGAGCCGCCGTGAGCGGCCATCTGGTGGCCGGCAACCGATCTGCCTCATCTGGGAGGAGCACAATGATAATACCAACATGGGCCAGTGAAGCGACATCCTCCACAACTAGACTGAAGAACAAAAGGACAGCAACTTGTCTGTTCCCCTTCCCCCGATTCCCCAGTGCTGTTCCCCTCCCTCAATTCCCCAATAAAATCTTTAAAAAACAGAAAAAAAGAAAATGTTCAAACTCAGTGATAAGGAAAATACAACATTTGTGGGATGCACTTAAAACAGTGCTTAAAGGGAAAATTATAACTTTAAATGATTCTGTGAAGGGCCGGCCGAGTGGCGCGATGGTTAAGAGCTGGCTTGGGATGCCAGAGGGCCCGGTTTGGATCCCACATATGAGGGCCAGTGACACTGCCCTCTACAGCTAAGATGCTGAACAACAGCTCAACCTGGAGCTGGGCTGCCGTGAGTCACCAGCGACGGCGTGGGCTGCAGCCCCTGCTGCAGTGGGTTGCCTACCATGTGTAGCCAGCAGCCAGCGTGAGCGGCCAGCAGCCTCAGTGAGCGGCTGTCCAGAAGCTGGTGACTGATGTGCCTCGCCCAGGAAGAACGCAATGATGGTGCCAACTTGGGCCAGTGAAGCAACGTCCTCCACAACTAGACTGAAGAACAAAACGACAACAGCTTGTCTGTTCCCCTTCCCCAGTTCCCCAATACAAATCTTAAAAAAAAAAAAAAAGGTTTACTCCTAATATCCCCAACCTGACAACAACCCAGATCTTCAATGGGTAAATGGTTAAACAAACTGTGGTACATCCATATACTATGGAGAAAAAGTGAAAAGAGCCAACCTCAAAAGGTTACGTTCTATATGATTCCATCTGTGTAACACTCTTGAAATGACAAAGTACAGAAATGGACAAGAAGTAGTTCCCAGGGGTGGTGGCAAGAGGGAAACAGGTATGGCTATAAAAGGGCAACAGAAGGGACGCCTGTGGTAATGAAAATGCTCTGCACCTTGGCCTTACAATGTCAGTATCCTGGCAGTGACAGTGCTATAGTTTTGCAAGATGCTACCAACGGGGAAAACCAGGCAGGGTGTATGGAATTTCTTACAAGTGCATATGAATCTACAATTATCTCAAATAAAAAGTTTAATTTAAAAAATCAATGTCTTCTACCGTGTTAACAAAATAAATGAGGAAATCATGTATGATCACACACCAATAAATGCAGAAAGATAACCTGACCAAATTCAATATCCATTCATTATAAAAAAAGAGGGAGGGTAGCGTCTACAAAACAATTATAGCTAATGTCATATTAATGGTTAAATAATGAATCCTTTCCCCCTAAGACTGAGACCAGATGAGGATGCCCACTCTCACCATTCCTATTCAACACAATGTTGTAGGTCCCAGCCAGCACAATAAAACAAGAACTAAAAAGCATGAATATTGGAAAGGAAGAAGGAAAACTGTATTTGTAAACGATATGATTGACTGTGTATGTAGAAAACCCTATGGAATGTCCAAAAAAAAAAAAAAAGAAATCCTACTAGCACTAATAAGTGAATTTAGCCAAGTCACAGGATACATGCACAACATAAAATAGACAACTGTATTCTATTCAATAGCAACAACTAAAAATGAAAATCTAAAATACCATTTATAAGTATTAAAAAACATAAAATACTTAGGAATAAATCTAATGAAAAATGTGCAGGATTTCTACAATGAAAACTAGAAAGACTGCTGAGAAAACTTCTTAATATTCCTAAATAAAAGGGAAGATGTACCACATTTATGGACTGAAGAGCTTAATGTTGTCAATTTTCCCCCAAATTGAACTATGGATCAAATACAGATATCAATAAAATTCCCAGCTGGCCTTTTTGGGGAAACTGAAAAACGGGTTCTCAAATGTATACGAAAATGCAAAATAGAAAAGCTCAAACAATTATGAAAAAGTAAAGTTGGATGCTTTACACTACCTTATGTCAAGATTTACTACAAAGCACAGAAATCAGTGTGGTATTGGTGCTCGGACAGACCGATAGGTCAATGGAATAGAATGAAATCCAGAGCTAGACGCCCACACACAGTCAACTGGCTTCTGATTGATGTACCAAGATAAATCAATAGAGAAGTCAAAGTGCTTTTCAATAAACGGTGCTAGAACAACTAGATAGATATGAGAAAAAATAACCTTCTATCCCTAGCCCACACCAGATACAAAAAATTAATTTGAAATAAACTATATAAACATAAAAGCTAAAAACTAAAGCTACCAGGAAAACAAAACCTAGAGTATCTCAGTGACCTTGGAGTAAAGATTTCTCATACAAAACAAATAAGAAAAAAAGTCTGGTGAATTAGAGTTTGTCAAAATTACAAAGTTGTGCTCATTAGGAGTCACCATTACAGAACGCATCTTGGGAGAGGTGCAAAAAAGACACAGTGAGAGCAGCTGGCAGGCAACCAGAGCAGTCCATCCGAGATGATGGAAAGCTGGAACAGGCACGATCTATGGAGACTAAAAAATGGTGATGGAGTCAAGGCCTACATAGGTGGTGGTTTGACTTTGGTGATGGTTTAATACGATAGGTTACAGAAAGGGGAGGAATCACCGTTAGTAAGAGGTAAATGGAACACATACAATCTCACAGCTGTTACACACACGCCATCATACTGTGTAAGACGAGGGGCAGCTGGCATTTATTACACACTTCCTGTGTTTCAGGCACAAGCAAAAACTTTTGGGGCATTCTTTCCTTCCATCCTCATGACAATACTATCCCATTTTACAGATGGGGAATTGGCAACCCAGAGATTATATTGGATATTTTACACACTTGTAATCAGAGCATAAAGTCAGCTTATTACAATGGCATACTTTCCATGCTATACATACTATTCCATTGCATTCACATATCACAGTTTCCTCCTTATTAGACATTTAGATCATTACAGTCAACACAGCAATCATCAACTTCATTTAGAACTTGTTTTAAATTATTTTCTTAGGACAAAGCCTCAATCAGTCAAATGGTACACCTTTTTACCAGATACAATGTGCCACAACAGAAAACTATTTTTTTCAAACCAAATGTTTTTCAAACCAAATTATTCTCTGGATGGGTTTAGATAGCCATCCACGAGTTTAAAATAATGGTACTATAATAAAATATGTAAGAAGGGCCAGCCGAGTGGCTCAGTTGGTTAAGAGTCGGCTTAAGAGCGTGAGCTCTGAGCAACAGGGCTGCCAGTTCGATTCCCACATGGGCCAGTGATGCTGCGCCCGGGCTGAGCTGTTGCTCAGCTGCCAACACGTGGCAGGATGGCTCAGCTAGTTTAACAACAAGATGGCCTGCTTGATGGTGGGCTACGCCCTAATCAAACTAAGACTGAACTTGGCCCTTGAGCTGAGCTGCCGCACTGCCGCCTGGATGGCTCCGTGGATAGGGCGTGCGCTCTTAACAACAAGGCTGCTGGGTTGGACCCCTGCATGGGATGGTGGCTACGCCCACCAGCAACTAAGATTGAACACAGCACTTTGAGCTTAGAGGCCACAAGGGGCCGTCGGGAAGCCAGATGGCAACTGGCGCCCTTTACCACAAAGATTGGAGAACAACAACTTGGCTGTGCTCTCCTTCCCCAATTCCCCTCCCCCAATTCCCTAATAAAATCTTAAAAAAATAAAATGAATAAATACATAAAATATGTAGGAAACTATTCCATATAATCTTGCCCCATCCCCAAATCACTACCCTGGAGGCTACCTCCCAGGCAGCAAAGTACTTCAAGACTCGGATTTATGACAGCAAAAAGATGGTCCTTGCCTTCTTCTACTATAATCACCCCAAATCAATGAGAGAGAGACAGAGAGGTAAGCCATAGTCAAGGAGAAAGTATTCCCAATAGAAATAATCTGGTAATGGCCTTATATCCAGAATAAAGAAAGAAAGCTTACAAATCAGGAACAAGAAGGAAACAACACATATTTTAAAGTGGGCAAAAAAAAGTTATCTAAATGGCCAATGAACATATGAAAAGATGTTCAACATCATTAGTTATCAAGTAAATGCAAATCAAAGCACGAGACAACCCAAATGTCCATGATGGATGTGGTAAATAAAATGTGGTATACACATACAATGGAGTATCATTCAATCTTAAAAAGGAAGAAAGTTCTGACATTTTACCACATAGATAAACCTTGAAAGCATTACACTAAGTGAAATAAGCCAAGCACTAAAGGACAAATTGAGTATAATTCCACTTACATGAGGTTCCTAGATAGTCAAATTCCCAGATAGAAAGTAGAATGGTTGTTGGCAGGGACTGGCGGAGCAGGGAGTAGGGAGTTATCACTTAGCGGGTAGTTTCAGTTTAGTACAATGAAAAAGTTCTGAAGACAGATGGTGGTGATGGTTGCACAATGTGTACTCAATGCCCTGAAATGTACAGTTAAAAATGCTTAAAATAGTACATTTATGTATACTTTACCACAATAAAAAAAACTATCAAATTGGGAAAAAACACCATAAGATACCCTTTTTACACCCACAACGGTGGCTTAAAATGAAAAGGGCTGACAGGTAACACGAAATGTGTATGATGATGTGGACTGACTGGAACCTCCTCACATTGCTGATAATGCAAAATGATACAAACACTTCGGAAAACAGTTTGGCAGTTTCTTATAATATTACACACACACCTTTGACCCAAAATTCCATGCCTAGGATTTACCCAAGAGAAATGAAAACATGTATTCCCAAAAGGACTAGTACGTAAATGTACAGTACATAGCAGCTCTAACCCACAATTGCCGAAAACTGGAGACAAAGAGAAAAGATAAATTATGGTATTAGTTATACAACAGAACACTACTCAACAATAACAAGGAACAAACTACTTAGCTGCAGCACAGAGGATTCTCAAAAACTGCAAGAAGTCACATGGATGAGTACATCTTACACGAGTCTATTCATACAATTTCTACAAGGGGCAAAGCTACTTTGTAGTAAGAAAGTCAGAAGTGATTGCCTCTAGGGTTGGAGAGCGGCTTGGAAAAGGGCACGGGGGCTTCCGGTGCATGGAAATGTTCTGTTCTCACTGATACAAGTTACAAGGATGTACACTATCCAAGCTCACTGAATTTCAGGGCACTTGCCATCTGTGCATTTTATGATACACAAATTATATCTCAATAAAAAAAGGAGGAAAAGAATATGTAGCCAATATAACACCACAGAATATTTAGCCATTCCTCCAATGTAAGATTAAAAGCCTAGAAAGGTTTTCCACAAAGGATGAAAACTCACACCTAGAAAAGTTCCTACCAAAATGTCTATTAGGCATTTCATAACTGTCCAAGAGAATTCATTATTTCTCCGGACCCACACTCAACACCTCCCAATTTGTTTCTTCCCAAGCCTTTCCCATCTCAGTAAATGGTACCAACACCCATCAAAGGTGCTCAAGCCAAAAAAAAAAAAAGTCATCCTTGATTCCTTCTTTCCATACAGTCTATTCATCGGCAAATCCTATTGTCACCACCTCAAAAACATGTCCATTTCTCTCCACCTCCACTACTACCCTCCTAATCCAAACCACCTTTGTCTCATGATTGCAGGAGTCCAGTACCTGGTCTCTCTGCTTCCACTCCTGCCCACTCAATTCTTTCTCTACACAGCAACCAGAGCAAAGCGTAAAATGTAATTCAGTTGTCATGACCCTGCTTAATTAACAACTGTACTTAGAGAATCAAGTGCAACTTCCCTAACATGGAACCAAGGCCCTACATGATCCGACTTCTGCTACCCTCACAGCTTCATCTCGCACCACTCCCTTCCCATATTCCCCAGACACACTGGCCTCCTCCGGACACAGTGAGAAACTGCTCCTCAAACATATCTATCTAGTTCCCTCCCCGCAGAACTCTGCACCAGCTAGTCTCAGAACACTCTTTCCCCAGCTCTGTGAATGGCTAGTTCTAGCTTGTCTTTCTGGTGTCAGCTAAAATGTCTCCATCCGAGAGGCCTTCCCTGGCTACCCAATCTAATGTAGCTCCTCCCCATCACTCTCCAGCAACCTCACCTTCTATTTTGATCTCAAAATAAATCACCTTATGAATTATCTTAGTTGTTTATGCTGTGTCTCCCCACTAGAACATAGGCTCCACGAGGACAAGGGACCTTGCCTGTCTTGTTCAGTCAATAAAAGTGCCTAGAGGGCTGGCCAAGTGGCGCGATGGTTAAGAACTGGCTTGGGACGCCAGAGGGCCCCGGTTCGGATCCCACATATGAGGGCCAGTGACACTGCCCTCTACAGCTAAGATGCTGAACAACAGCTCAACCTGGAGCTGGGTTGCTGTGAGTTGCCAGCTACAGCGGAGGCTGCAGCCACTGTGGCAGTGGGTTGCCATGGGCTACTGCGTGTAGCCAGCAGCCAGTGTGAGCGGCCAGCAGCCAGTGTGAGCGGCCAGCAGCCGCAGTGAGCAGCCATCCAGAAGCCGGCGACTGATCTGCCTCACCCAGGAAGAGCGCAATGATGGTGCCAGCTTGGGCCAGTGAAGCAACGTCCTCCACAACTAGACTGAAGAACAAAAGGACAGCAACTTGTCTGTTCCCCTTCCCCCAATTCCCCAGCACTGTTCCCATCCCCCCAATTCCTCAATTTAAAAAAAAATAAAAATAAGTGCCTAGAATGGAAAAGAAACTCAATAAATATTTATTCAATCAATGAATGAATTAGACATAATAAACCTGACAGGAGTTACTCACTCAAAATACAGAGTATCTAAATATTTATATCTAAATGTCTTGGCTCTTCTTGGAAATGGTTCTAAAAATACAATATCCTTTAAGCATAAACATACTCTATGCAAAATCTTACGTAAGGTATGAAATCTAACACTGCCCTATACACAAAAGGAAGTCAGGAAATAGCAGATGAGTACAAAAGTAACATACAATATTAAGTACAAAATGAAACACTGGCTTAGTGTTTTCCATGAAAAACAGAAACAGAATAGCATTACAAGGTGTTTCAAATATTAATTTCAGAAACATATCCACACAAAACATAGAGTCTAAAACAGGAAAAATAACAAAAAAGCATATCAAGGAGCAAAACAGCACTCCTGTGGTAAAAATGGTACATCCCATCAGAAGCACAAAAACCTAAAGACAAACTCAGGTATTTCTCTTGTGATCTAACTGAGCAAATATCACAAAGTAATCCTGACAGAACAGAAAATAAAAGACGCAATGCATCAGCAGACTCATTCATTTCTTTTACATTTTATTATAGAAAATTTCAAACATACACAAATGTAGATAGAACAGTATAATGCATGAACCCTCACACACTCATCACTGAGCTGCAACAATTATCAATATATCTATAAGAATTTAAGAGATCATGTAAATTTCCAATACAACACAATTTCCAAAAACACTGATGACAGTAAAAGGAACAAGGCTTATTTCCCCCTTCCTGATCAGACTTGTCTACTTAATGTCACGAAAAGTTGAACTTCTTTTCCTATCATTTCTACCCATCATAATTCTAACGACACTGATTTATATAGATACAGAATGAAAAGCTATAAGAATTTTTAAAATACCAGAAATTAATCAGATGTGAAAAGACTTCTACTTCTTCATTCAACATATATCTTTAAGACACTGATGTTTACGTTCAAGTTTAAATTATATTAATAACTGAATAGAATTTTTAATATTTTTAAAATGCAGATTGCTAGTTGACAAGTATATATTTTTCTATTTAGTTCTACATTAATAGAAAAAAATCTAAAAAAGTAACCACTCAACAGGTAACAAACTTCCATCTATGTAAAATACATTAATGCATTACTCAACACTCATCAGATAGGTTTACAGGCATACCTTATTTTACAGAGCTTCACTTTATTGTGCTTCACAGATGTTGCATTATTTACAAATAAGACCCTCCACCAGCAAAAAGATTACAACTTGCTTTATTGCAATACTCGCTTTATTGCAATATTCACTTTATTGAAGTCGCCTGGAACCAAACCTGCAATATCGCCAAGGCATGCCTGTGTTCTATAAAGAAAATCCTTTACTAACTGAAAACAATAAATCTAAAACACATGGAGTGCCACTATCTGGGTTCCTAACCAGACGAACACACTAAGGAAGGGGCTTCATGGATTACAGGGCTAACCCTTCATGTCAAAGGAAGAGCTACGGCTGAAGTAAGAGACAGGGGAGCTACAGGGGTCCAATCGTTGATGCCCTTTATTTTCTGCTTTTCTATCAAGCTATAACATATATAGCAAGTCTACATGTTTTAAATGTACAGCTCAATACATTTTTATATATTAATTCACCCATACAGCCACACCCAAATCAACACAATATTTCAAACATCCCAGAAGTTTCAATTATGTACCCACGAAAGTAGCCATTATTCTGATATCTATTGTAAAAGATCAGCATAGCCTGTTTTTGAACTTTATACAAATGACATCATAAAGGTTCTCTTTTAGTGTTTGGCTTCTTTTGCCCAATATTACATCTGTGAGATTCATCCTTGTAGTGATAGGTCATTCTTTCTCATGGCTATGCAGTATTCTATTATATAACTGTGTCTCACTGGATTTATCCATTCTACTGCTGAGAGACAGCTGGGTTATTTCCAATTTAGAGGCTATTATGAATAAAGAATTAAACATTTTTAAATGCCTTTGTGGTGCACAAATGTACCCATTTATGCTGGGCAGAGTATTTAGGAAGTCACAGAGTAGAAGTGGGACTATTTTGCTCAAAAGCTGAACTAGCAGGATTTCCAGACTACCAAATGCCACGAAGTATGAGACTTCACTGTATCATTTATCTTGTAAGAAGCCTTTAGACAACAAAGTCAGGTAGCCCTAAACAGTCTTCCACATGTAATACAACTGCGGTAGTTGCCAAAATGATCCATGAACTACAAACAAACAACTTGGAATTAGAGACCTACTGACTTCCATTCTCAACTGCCACAACAGATAGCACTCAAAAGCATTCAGATCCTAGGAGCAACTCCTTGGTCTGCTAAGGACAATTCTAATCGACAGCTGTGGAAGAGTAAGTGGCTGGTTACAGATTTCTGTAAAAACTAGAAATTTTTCCATGTGTCTACCTGGAAAGGTATTTATAGAATCAAAATCTTGGGAATGGCAGAGATCTTAAAAGAAAACATTTAGTACAATCCTACTAATAAGTCCGCATCTCCCATAAAAGGCAGCACAGTGAAAAGAGCATGAGCTTCTAAAGTCAGACATCACAGGCTCAGGTTCACTTCCAACTTCACTTACCAGCACCGTGACCCAGGCAAATTATCCAAACCTGAGTCTCAACTGTCTCAACTACAAAATGGGATTATACCGACTATACCACATCACAGAACCACTGTGAGG